TCAGGGATACTTTTGTGTTTCTGAGCCGGGTTTATGCAGAGTCAAGGCCTTTTCTGCTTCTCCCACTGGCCCAGAGGTGAGCAGGCTGAGGGTGCTTGAGGAGCTGGGAGGGGCACAGCTGGGAACGCTGGGGCCCACTACAAAAGGGATATCCTATACCATGCTATTCTGTGCCCAACAATATAAAGCTTAGGAAAAACAAGGAAGGGGAGACCCTTGGAGTTATGACATTTGTGTTCCCAAGTAACTGTTACGGATGATGAAGCTCTGCTTTCCTGGAGATGGCTGACCCTCCTCCTGATGATGGGACATGGTGAAAGAATTCCTTGTTTTGCACTATTTGCATGCACAGCTTTTGCTTTAACTATTAAACTTTTATTTCACCATGACTTTCTCGCCTTTACTCCTCTGATTCTCTACCCCATCCCAGTGGTGGGGGGAGGGGGGAGCGTCTAGGTCATGCTTAGTTGCTGCCTGGGGTTAAACCACAACATTCCTTATTGGAATATAATGTGGGGCTCAAAGAATTCGAGGTAAGATTTGATTGGAATGTGCTAGATCAAATTTACAGTTGCTGTTGCTGTTTAGATATTAATTTCCAAGCTCTTGTTCTTGCCATGGGGCCTGCTGGCCTGGCTATGTTTTAGAGTCTAGTGCTCATTAGTGGCTCTTTTTTTTTTTGCTTTCACTGCTTCTTGTCTTAGTCTGCTGTGCCTGGGAACACTTTGATAATAGCAATTGTGATGTGTCCGGGCTGGCAGATGGCGAGGGCATCGCTGCTGTGCCTGTGCTGCTGAGCTGAAGAGGCTGGAAACCCAGTGTGAAGTCGAGCTGAAGGTGCTGTGACCTGTGGATGAGTCCCCAGAGGGGCAGGGCACCCCGAAGTGTCTGTGGTCATGGATAATGTGTGGCACCTGCTCCACACCAGAGCGAGTGCTTCTCAAAACATCTATGGCCATGGTTGTCTGTGCTAAGGCAGGTACACCTTGAAGCATCAGTGGCTGTGCATGAGGTTGTGAAGGAGCACCTGAAAGTGTGGAGCCACCTACTACATATGCTACACACAATAGTGATGCTTAAATACAAGTAATCTCTACAAGCAATTAGCACACAATGTTTTGTCCAATGAAAATGATCTATAACATTTCAGCGATTCTCCAGATAATTATCCATATCAAAAGAGAAGCTGAAGAAAATTGTTTGAAATACTACAGCTGGATTCAATTCAACTCAAAGAGAAGAGCAGGAAGCATGAAACCCCATTTCTCATTTGAGAACAACCACAACGCGCCTCTTGTGCAGGGCTCTGCACAATAGCCCCCATCACAAGGCAGAGGCTATTCCTCCCTCCTGTTACTTTATCACTTCTATTCCTGCCTCACTGTAAAAGTAAAGATTGTAGAGCTGTCTGTGAACTGAACTGACATAACTACTGAGTGAATTAAATTTGCCCTGTTACAACAACAAAAAATCAGCATAGAAATATACCATCAGGTATTTCTAGGAGATTATTCTTCTCATTAAGGCTCCAGTTCATGTTTTCCCATCATCCACCCATTTCCTTCATATTTCCTTCTGACAACCCACTGCAAAGCTCTCCAATCTTGCAGCTTTTTCCAGGCAGAATAACCAAGGTGAAGTGTGTCTGTTTCTTTCACAGATATTCTCTCTCTCTGCTGCTGAGGCACAGCAAAAAATTATAAAAAAAATAAAACCCAGAGCATATATTATTGCTTGTTCTTTCTCCCCGTCCTAAAGCAGTCTGCAGCAGACCATAGACCAAGCGCGAACTTGCCTAATCCAAAGCATGAAAATTGAATTTGGATCAGTTGATAGTCTTCAACTGGCAGTCTTGAGATGTTTAGAAACAAAGTGCTGGCAAATCACTAATACTCTATGCAAACCAAGTTGTTTCAAGTGTCAACATCAAAGCCAATTTAGATGGATACATGGACTTGAGATCATAAAAATATATACTCATTTGTTAACATTTGTGTCTTGCTTGTCTCACAATTTGTGTGCACTAAGGCATCCTTTTAGTTATTATTCTCACTGGGTAGAAATTGAAATTTTCTCTATTTGGACAATTGTGACAACAAGTAAATAACTGATATAAAAACAAATGCCTGGAGACCATAATAAATATTTTTAATCACGCTACTCAATTTCTTGTTTGTTTTTGTGGATGGTACATTATTTATTTGCATCTGTTTCTACTGTAGATAAATCTGAGCCTTCACTACTGCCCAGAGTTTGCACTATGGATCTGTCATAACATTTTAACATTTTTTTACTGCCTTAACAAGGCAGTATACTGAGTTATGTAGATACTGACTATTTGGATATTAATTTATTGTTCTAAAAACAGCAGAATGTATGGATATTTCTCGAGGAATAAAAGATAATTATATGCTTCTACTAATTAACTGTTTCTTTTGTAAATTCTCAAAGAAAACGTTAAGCACATTATTTGAACCTTTAAAATGTCTGAAAAGGTAAATTTCTACAGAGTTCTTCTTGAATTACTTTAAGTAACAATCAAACAAAAATATTATCTCACATTCTGACTACTTAGAAATGCAGAGCAACTCTCCTAACTTATTAGACTTTTGAATCTTCAGTATTTGAAAGGCAGAACCATGTCAAAAGACATCACTGGAGATGGGTCACTGGGTTATATTTCACCTGTAGAGCTATTGGGGGATTCTAATCACTGATCTGAAGTTCTTGCTGCCACAATTTTCATTATTCTCTGTAAATTTCAAAGATAAGCCACTTAAAATAATTTAGAAAAAATTGATTGGTCGGGGTCTATCAGTTTCCACTTCCAAGGTTTAAAACATTCTTCTCAACATTGTAAATTTTTCTTTGTAAAAATTTTTTTATTCCACTGAAGTGCAAAAATTACACATCTTATGTCCATATTTTAGCCTGGTGTTCCAAAGAGGTAGTTCATAGACATTCCTATCTACTTGGCATTTTTAATGAAAAATGAAACAAGGACTGAAGACTTCAAAATTATTAAGTCCTTAAAAGTTTGTCATAATAAATGGCTGAGTAAAAGGAGAGTATTTCAAGTTCCAGTGTCTTCTGAAGAGCACCTTCTGTTTTGCTCCATTCAAACACATCATTGCAACATATCATGGTTTTTCTTACTACAGTTCCAGTTTCTTTAAAGCAGGTATTACTGCCTTGTGACTCAATATTTCAGATCATTATCTTCTCAAAAGAAGGAGGCAAATCCATGCTTCTGTGCATCTGGCTGTATGTACACATCCAAATCCAAACACACAAAGTCTTACATGGTGCTGTACATATATATATATATGCACATGCAGAGGTAAAAAAAAAAAAAATAAAAAAAAAAAATCCAAACAAAAACAAACTAAAAAAAACCCTTCTTTCCAATTTCATGATTTTCCTTAATGTTTTTTATGGTTGCTCAGATAGTCCATGTCATCTTCAGTTTTTCTCAGCATTCAGGTCTTTGCTTCAGAAAGTGTGTTTGGTGAAGTGAATTCCTTCTTGTAGACCATCATTTCTCAGCTCTGTCTTCCTCGCATTGCAAAACATTAATTGTTATTCCTATCAGAAACCTTTAGGGTCTTCAAGAAATTTAGAAAGTCAAACAGAAGTTAAGAAGTTAAGTTAAAGAAGAAGTTAAGCTCAAACAGAGTTTAAATTGTCTTATTAACAAAACTAAAGTTTCCTTTCTGTAGATTTTTTTAGAGATGTTTGGCTTTCTCTAACAGAATGTTATGAAACTGCAGCGTGTACTCACAGTCATCATGAATCTGAGAATAGTTCTGTTCAATTTCCAAAACTGCAATTCAGAACTCTCCAGTGAATTAATAACTATTTTTTTAACTTGGGGAATGAAATTAAACTTGGTTTCTGTATTTTATTCTTAAACAGCAATGTAGTTATAACATTGCCTAATACTAAAATAATTTTTGTTTACTTGTCATCAGTATATGACCTTGAATTCCTTGAATGGAATTATTTGGAAGGAAACACATATTATTCTTAAGAATCATTTGAATATTGATGTCTGTTCTATTTGCAAATAATTTTTCCTTTCTGGGACATGTCCCACTGGGGTTGTTTATACAAAGTTCTCTTGGAGCTTTTTTTTTTTGGCTGCTGAAAGTCCAATATAGCACAAAACATAAATAATTATCAGTACCTTTACATACTTCTCTTTTATGGTGCTTGGAGAGGTGGGGGGATTAACTTTTTCTCCAGGCACTTTTCCCACTAACTTGAAAAATATCTCATTGGTGAATTGGATAGAGAGAGATAGATTTGGCTGAAGAGGTAAAAGCAGCATAATGAATTATGTGGGTGTACTCTGAATAAAACATTTCTTAGAACAGCAGTAAATTTAATGACCTGCCTTTAAGTGCTTCAAAATACAGTGTTTCTGGATATCATTAGCATATCATACAGATGATGGTTTTCAAGGAAGATGAGAGTTACTGTTACAAGATGATTCATAGAATTATTGAGAATTATTTAGGTTGGAAAAGACTTTCAGAGCATCAAGCCCAATGCACTGACAAGTTCACTACTAAACCAGGTCCCCCAGATCCATATCTATATGTCTTTTAAAAACCGCCAGGAATGGTAACTCCACCTCTTCCTGGGGCAGCCTTATCAATTCAGTCACCCTTTCAGTGAAGAAATGTTCCCTAGTATCCAATCTAAACCTCCCCCGGCACAATTTGAGGCCGTTTCCTCTTGTTCTGCCACTTGTTACTTTGGAGAAGTAACCCCCACCTGGCTGCAACCTCTTTCCAGGCAGATGAGGAGAGTGATAAGGTCTCTTTTTCTCAGACTAAACAACCCCTGCTCTCTCAGCTTCTCCCCATCAGACTTGTGCTCCAGACCCCTTACCAGCTCCACTGCCCTTCTCTTGTCATGTTTCAGCACCTCAATGTCCTTCCTGCAGTAAAACTGGAGAGACAGAAGAGCCACTGCTTGTGCTCCTGATCACTTACCCAGTCATTCCAAGCCCATGAATGCTCTCTTGATTACCCTTGGAATTCTTGTTGCAACTTCATTACTGATTACCTGAAAAATCAATAAAGAATGATAATCTGAGAGCCATACTAGGATGAGAGGCTTTCTTCCCACATCTTTAATCCAGAAGGTGTTAAAAAGTGGTGACCAGCTGCCAATACTGTCAGGCCTTGCACATGCACAGACACAGAGATCCAAGACACTCAATCCAACAATTCAGGTTTTGTCTTGCTGTCAGTGAGGGGATTCCCCTTCTGCATGTGGACTGACTGTTAATGTCAGGCAATGGAGAAGCCAGATACAAACCTGTGGGAAACAAGCATACTCTTTTCTATGGGTGATGGAACCAATCTGCCTTTCTTTCACCCAGTAAGAAACAAAAAAAGCACTAGAAAACTTCAAACACTAGAATCTTTGAAATGCATAAGAAAGATTGTGATGTCTACAGTGAAGTTAAACAGCTTCTGCCATGATATTTGCAGCAAACTACTCCAAAGTAAGTAAAAGAAACAGGAAGCACACAAGTTTTAAACCACATTAATTTTTTTCACTGATGGGTCCAAATGATGTCAAAGAACAAAATATTGACACGAACAGCTTCCAGAGGTTCTCTCCTCATTAGATCAATAAAAACATCTTTCCCTACCCATATTTCCAGTACTGCACAGAATCTCACTCAGCCATGCCTAGTCTCATAAGCAGGAATTCTTATTTCAAAGGCTGATTTGAAGTGCCTATTCTTCTATGTAAAAGTTTTTGCAACCTCTCTTACAAAGCAGGGAATGTAGCTCATGAATGTAGATCTACATAATAAGATTATGGCTGAAAAAGTGAACAGCAGAGCTCATTTATTCTACATGCCTACTCCAGAAAAAAATGAATATCATCCATCAATAGCATGCCCTGGAATGAAGAATCCCAGAGAGGACAAACACAGCTGCTGCCAAAGACACAAAGGAGACAACATTGTGATCGAAGTGGGGAGACTATCACACAATATCAGAGATAATCATTAAAAACAGCCAACAAAGCTCAGTGGCATTAGCAAACTGTTTGGTTCAGACTCATTAACGGACCACATGGGCAATTTCAACAAATTATGGCATTTCAGAGTGGCTGCACTGGAAATCAGCTTGAGGGCAAAAGGAAGCATGAATCAATTCCTCTTAAAAGGCAGTTGTTACAAAAATTATAGTTTAGTCTGTTTACATTATATTCGTGTCAGGGACAAAATCTGAGGTGTAAATATGATCTTAAAGGTCTTTTTTAACCTTAACAATTCTGAGATTCTGTGAATATACATTAATGGCCCAACAGGCCAGTACTGCAGCACAATCAGGAATGCAACTCTTCCAGGCATAACAGTCTGTTATTTGAATAGGTCTCCACATGATAAGAGGACAAGACAATGAACTTAATCACATCCCACTGATTCAGATCTTTCTGTAACAGGGGTTTTATCAGAATTGCATTTTGAAATTAAACCATAAGAGAAAGAAAAGTTGGACTGTGACATCATAACCTTGACCTTTCGTGACTAAAAGGTACTTCCATTCCATTTGACTTTTCTAAATTTTGCATTATGCTAATATGTACAGTATGTATGGTGTATATATATATATATATATTTCAGTATTTTTTGATTACAGAAAATATGTAAAGAATACATTCTATAATTGCCTCGAAATCTCTCTGCTTTCTAGACATATGTGCTAAGTTCACCATACCCAGCATTTGAAGTAGTCCTTTGTACTAATTTCTTACTGCACACATTCAAAATATTTTTTTCTTCAATGTACTAGTAACTGAGATTACAAAATTTAAGCCAAACTGGTAACTTGCTTTGTTTCTATTCTTCACAAAAACTCCATCAGGTAGATATCCCTATTTTTTAAATTACTTAATTCCTATATCTCTTTTCATATTGTTTTATCTCTTGACAACAAGAGATGAAACATGGATAGACACCACCCACTTCTCATGAGCAACGATGCTTTGGCTCTCTAAGGCTGTTAGCTTTGTCAAAACATAATTTTGATGTCTCATAAAGGAAACTAACAGGAAAAGTAATTGCCATGCAAAATGAAATTATGAAATTTATTTATATAAGATACAGCTTGTTTTAGTGTATTGCACCATGACTTTAGTGAGACATATTAACAGCCAATAAGAAACACTCAGTGCTGCAGCTCTGCAACCCCTTAATGTGGCTTGGTGATCAGCAGAGTAACCACTCTGCTGTGACTCCCAGCAGCTCTGCAGATGCAGTCTGAATGAACCATTAGTTTTGGTTGACAAATACCTGTGTTTTCATCAATATGTAATCTTAACAGAAGATGAAATTGAAGTCCAGAGGCCACAATGCAATCATATTTTCCACCTTGATTTGTCTTGGTTTGGTTTTGTTTTCCTTTAAGTCCGTCGTGTTCTTGCAGTTTTTCTTGTACCTTCTACTTTCTATTCACAAAATGACTGAATGAAACATATTGCTGAATACTTATCTACTCTGTGCATTTTGTTCTGAATATTCTTACTTATCTTCCTTTTTTCCCCTGATTTTCCTAAATAGATATTCTAACAAATTTAAAACTAAAATCTAATTTTAGCTATCATAAATGTCATCATGGAATTGTCTGTATAAAATCTTCACTGCAAACATAACCACATTACTGTGTGAAAGTATATGGTTAACCTATGTACTTTAATATGCTTACAAGTAAATTTTGGCTGTTCAGTTTGGTATATGTGAAAGTGATCTCACATTGACACACCAGGAAGTTTTCTCCATGGAAGCTGCTGGTGTGACTGAAATATCTCGTGACATTCTAGTAAAGATCCATTCTGAATCTCAGACAGTGAATATTTTCAAATTATCCTAAAGTTCTGAAAATACTTCAAAGTGCTTTTGACCATGTCAACCATGATTATTTACTTTACTATCTTCACTCATTGAGAGAAATTAAGGCATGAAAACCAAGGGGGTTTAGCTCCTGTATATACTGAATGTTGTCAAGACTATGGATGTACTGTAATAATTTCAGATTTCAAAGAGCATTTTCTTTGTATCAGCCATTCCATCCTGCCTTGTGCTATGGCCAAAGTCAATAGGGGAGGCAAAGAGGACAGACCCAGGCTCTTCTCAGTGATGCCCAGTGACAGGATCAGAGGTAATGAGCACACACTGAAACATGGGACGTTCCCTCTGAATATCAGGAAACACTATTTTACAGTAAAGGTGACCAAGCACTGGTACAGGTTGCCTAGAAAGGTTTTTCAAGGAGTTTCCATCCTTAGAGATATTCAAAAGCTGTTTGGACATGGTTCTGGGCAGCCTGCTTGAGAAGAAGGGTTGTATCAGTTGACCTCCGGAGGTTCCTTTAAACCTCAATGATATTGTGGTTCTGTGTGATTCTACTTACAGACAAACTCCAGTTTGAAAGAACTGAAAGCTCTGCCATTACTATACTGGAATTCAAAACATGGGACTGAAACATTCAACCTCAGGTCTTATATGGTGTGCTCCCTTCACACATGGAGCAGCCTGTGTAAAGGAAATCTTTAGTTAAGCCACCATCTCTCCTGAGGTCCTGTAAACACTGGCAAGAGGAAAAATCCTTCAGAAAGCATTAAAGTGAAGAAATCTATTTTAGCCATCTGTCTTCTTCTCTCGATTACTTAGTTTAGGAAGAAAAGGCAGCTCTATCCTGTTCTGGGAACAATGCTCCTAAAATTTACAAACAGCTGTCCCATTGCAATGCTATCCAGCATACCTCATATTGTAGGAAGAAACTTTGGCTTTTCAACAGCTCATTAAAATACAGATTTTGGGGTCAGAGCATGAAATTTTTGTTTATCCTCCAGAAGCACACAAGCATGCACAACCAGGATATGATTATACAGAAGAAGGTTTGCCAAGCTGAAACAGGGCTCCTGGGGATACAGGCAGGGCTGACGAGAAACTGGGCAGAGCCAATTGAGCCCGGTAGTCCCTCAGAGTCTGGACATCTTTCGACCCTACAGGCTAAATAATGATTGATCTTCCTTGGCCATATGTTGGTCTATGAGGATTGGCTTTATATGTATGCAGCTACAATCTCACAATTTCTTCTACTAATTACTTCTACTATTTCTTGCTACAATTGCTTCTACTAATGCCACTCTTCCACATGTGAAATGACCCCAAAGGCAATCTTTCCCAGCCATTCTGACACAGAAAATTCTGCTAAGAATCACTGCAGGTGACTTGCAAAGATGCAAACACGCTGGTTTGGATTTGAATCCTCATCGTGGGTGAGGATTTGAACCCACCAGTCTTTCTATTGGGTAAAAAATGACTCAGGCAGCTTAAAACCTTTGATTTTCCAAATATACTAGAAAATTTGTCACAGTCAGTAACTAAGACATCACTTTTAATCTGTCCTTTACACTCTTTTACATTTTTATCACTATAAAATTTAGTGATAAAATTAAGGTACTTTTAAAATTAAGGTACTTTTTATCCAGGAAGATAACTGAAATACTGGGGAATCACAAATAGACTCGTTTCTCCTTTATTTAAAGGTAACTTCTGTTTACTTCTCACTTTAAGTAAGAAATGCAGTATTTCTCCAATGTAGTCTTAAAAAATGTTTCATGTATTATGGTACAAACAGATCTATGCTCCTCAAAACTCCTTCTAAACTGTATTTTAAAAAGCTTGGATAAACAAACAGTGTTCAAAAGCAGATATTCTAGAAACATGTAGAAATTAAAGTTCTTGTTTTATGAACAATTTTATAAAAGAAAGATAATTTTATTTGATGTCCTTAAGGGCTTACTGACAAGGTTGGAAAGGCTGTGCATTCGTTAAAAAATGTGTGTTAAAAACAATACCTGAAAGAGATGGGAGCTCTGCAGTGCTGTCACAGCACTGTCTCATGGCAGTGAGCACACTGGAGGTGACCAACTGCTCCTCTGGAGCTGAATATTGCCTGGAGAGGGGCAGAGCAGCCAGCAAGGCAGGAGAGAACAGCAGGGGCCTGTTCTCAAGGTGGAATTATGTGTCACATGGC